GAGAAAAATGAAAATTTTATTTCGAAAATTTGTACAGCAATTTTCATGATATAATATTTAAAATAATTACGAAACTGAACGTGCATGTACGATTCCTCCCAAATGTTTGGAGAACCCTCCGATATTTCACTGGAAAATTTTACTGTACCATATTAAAAAGAATAATGCATGCGATATAAAATAAAATATTATATTCCTAAATAAAAATACGAAAATTCAAAAATGTGTTTACACGAAATAAATACAAACTGTATCAAGTTCGATCATTTCGCTGGTCGCAAAATTCCCCATTAGTATGACCATTTATTATTCAGGAATAGTTTAAAATGTTCACGGAGTAAGATAGTTAAAAAGTAACGATCTTAAAATGTATGAATTAAAATATAATTATACTTTCCACACGAAATTATACGGAAGTAATGCCCAATTAATATGTAGGGATAATATTTTCAGTGAAACGTTTGCGTATGTATAAAAGAAGAGTTATTAATTTCGAAGATAGAAAGCTGCTCCAAACTTCTGAACGGCAATGTATATGCTAATACTCCTGGGAAGGTTAACAATCTTCCAAACCTCTAAAGATCTCGATCGACGCAAGAGAATTTACTGAAACGAACTACAACAATACCAAGTGAAATTTTAAGAAAACATATAAAAATTTGCTCACGTTACAAAGTTCAATTGCTCTTTTCTTTGTAATGGGACCCGATGATTGATATTACATAAATCTTTCTGCGTATAAAAGGCACGAGATAAAGTCATCGGCAACTCAAGGCGTCAACACATATTCGCGCGTAGTAGAGTTAAACTACGATGCAAGTAGAAACAGTGAGTAATGGACAGACGCGCCAGCCAAATCGCATTCAATTATCTCGAAAACGAAGCATTGTACGATCAAATTTTGTTCAATATTTTCAACTTATTTTTCATTTCCTGTACCACGAACAATCAACCTGTATATACAACCAACAAATCTATTTTTATAAAGACTGATATAACATCGAGGCAACTGTTTAGACATTTTGATATTCTTAAAATGTACTTCAGTCTCGATTTGATAAAACAGTTGATCGATAGAAAATTATTCTAACTTCGCTGGGGAATAGAATTATAGTCCGGTTCGATTACATGGTATCTCAAGTAGAACCAATGTTTTTCAACAATCGTGAAGTTTAATAACACGGTTCAACGAATTCTCGCGACGACAGCAACGATGTAAATATAATAGCTCATCTGTTCGCGTGGGTCGTAATGGACGGGTTACAGGACTGCTATCCGGTAAGTTGGTAAGTACATTATCGCCGCGGTGATAAAAGTTAGGAATACGACTTCTGATAAGGCCAAGATGACAATAATAAACTCGCTCTCGCTATCCTCCTACGTTCGAAGGAAAAAATCGTTAAATGAAATTCCCCGCAACCTGAACGAAGTTACGGGGCGTGGAATACCGTCGGGCGGCATTTCGCGACGAATGCGAGTGTTCGTTTAGGTAGCCGGCGGCTTGTGAAATTGCTAAATTACAGCTTAGTGACATTTACCGACGCGACAAGACGGTATCGGTATAAAAGTTTCAGTTATATTCTTGCTGCCGGTTGCGCAACCCAGCCGGTAACAATGGCGAGAAAAGAATGTTCGTATTAAAGGTACGAGAGGAAAAAAAGAAATGATAAAAGTAGAATACGTGAAGCGAAAAAATGATGAAGACGACAAAATTGGCCGGACAAATTGCGTTTAATCCCTGCATCGTAGTTCGACGTAACAACGGTAATAAAAATCTCGTTATCCGACATCGCTCGACTTCCAGTAGCATGAAACTTTCGTTTTAGAAGCTTAACGTTTAACTAACTTCGGCCGCGCCACAATAACCTCTGCGCGCTGGTGCGCTTCAATTAGACGCGTCAGAGTTCTAATCAACTTCTCTCTTGAATCATTGACGTCTTGATCTACCCGAAATAGAAAAGGCCGAGCGGCGGGTCTCTCGCCGCGGCACAAAAGACGCCGATATCGAGTCGCCGTAGACGTAACGGCAGTAAAATTAAATTGGATTCGATTAAACGCACCGCGTATGAACTTTTGCAACGGTCGAACGCACGCCGCGAGGGCGGAGAACCTTTCGACGCTGGAAGGTCGTACGTCGATTCACGGATTCCTCGTTAGACCCCCTCGCAAGACCCTCGATTTTACCAATACTGCGAACAGATACTCGATACCGTTCGAATTAACCCTTTGGGACCAAAAAACAATAGGATACAGGCGTCTCTGCTCATCGCGAAAAGGAACAACGGTGGAGCGAATATCGTAAATTATTCAAATAATCGTACAAATTACTATCACGTTTAGTTAGTAAAATTTTATTATATATTTCGACCTGTTTTTCCACGAAAAAACCGCCCCTTGCTTTTTTTTCAATGAAGACTGGCTTGCTTCATCGCAAATGTAACGAGAGCATAGTCCGAAGACACTGTTATTTCGCGGGCCACAACCTAATGTAATTTATAAACGAAGAGGTGATTAACGAAATATGCGAGAAGACCGTACTCGGCGTACCAGAAGACCGCAAGTTCTCCATTTCTGCCTTAATAAAACGTTAACGTTTTACGAGAGTAACTTGTCGCCTCTCTCTCACTTCGCGCAGTTCGTTAGTGAAATGAAATCAGTTAACTCTTGGATAGAGTTTCCGTGGTTTAGTGAAAGGATCAAGCATATCTCAGATAGCATCGAAACTTCATGGCAATGTATTCCTATCCAATCCCACGCGAGTACAATAGAACCTTCTTTATCCGAGTTCTTCTTTTAAAACATTTTTATATTACGATCGAAATTAATTCTAGCCGCCATACTTTAATATGAAACTTATTTACCAAGACCTAGTAAATCGCGAACATATCAACTGTTTAAATACAATTACCTGGATAAAATAAAAATCATTATTTGCGAAACGGCGTTCGAACTGTTACTGCACCATGGCTCGAATTATGAATATATGAAATTCATAAAGTTAGTAGAAATGCAAACACAATCACGGCCAAAATGGTTTATCGAAATCCAGGTACTTAAAAGCTTAATCGAAATTTAACCAAATATATTCCAACTCTATACCAAGGGACCCCATAATATTAATTACTAAAATGATATTATCGACTTCCAAATCATGATGTGGTACACGTAGAAATTAATATTTATTGCGCAACGATTTTCGGTGTTAGAATAATACTCCGTAACCTACGAGAATTTATGTACAATTGATAAAACCTGTCACTGGCAGTCATTTAAACGCTTAAACGGTAATTAATACACCGCTGTCGGATGAGCAAGACGTTCTATAACGAGTATGCAAAACTAAGATAATTTATCGAGATAGGTATCTACTGAAAAATACACGAACACGTGTTCTGTTTTAAATATTTACGTAGCTACAACTGTTCGAAGCACAGGCTTGAAATAAAACATCCTTTAAAAATTTTAAACGACACGGGTAACTCGTTAATTTGACAACCGTTAACTTTAGTCGGTTCAACCATCTTATATTTAATACCAAAGGTTTCAAATATGTAGCTCTCCTTTACTATCTCTCAAATGAAAATATATGAGACATGTTTTCGAACTCGAGCACTTGTTGTAAATTTAAATAGGATTTTAACGAACCCCCTCCCACACTCCTAAATACACATTTAGTTTTTCGGTGTCTACAACCGTGTTAAAATTACTCTACAGGCAAACCGACGCGAGTGGTGAGTCACGAAATACGTGCAGCTTGTCAGCCGATGCAATTAGTACGCAAACTATGGGATCCTCGGGTCTTCGAGAATCTCTAAAATCATTCCACTGACAGCTATCAATGAACATTCATCGTCGACGGAATACCGGCAAATCCTTCGGTAAACATCTGTCAAATTAAGTATTCGATCGTTGCCGCGTCGTTGCAACCAGCGTCTCTCAAACGTGAAAACCTGCCCCCCCCCCTCCCCCCCCCCATCTCTTTAGAAATTCTGTATACAGGGTGGATTGAAAGGACACTTCAGAGATGGATTCTATACAAGAAAACAATAACTAATTGGAGTTGTTTTCAAGTTATAACGAGTTCCGTGTTGGAATATTTCTTTCTAAAAATGAGAATAGTTGAACTAATTCCATTCAACATGGACATTGGGTGTCTGATTATCAAAATACGTCGTGTATGAAAATAAGAAGATTGTCTCGTTAACAAATGGCAGATATGATCCTCGAGTATGGGCTTGTTATTATAATTAATACTTAGACAAACAGAGAGGGTAATTTTGAACATTTATTGCGAAGGTAAATAGATATAACATGTTCAACAAGAAACTAGCTATAACCTGCAAACATGGTCAAATAGGACACTTGTTTTCTTATGTAAAATTCATCTCTGAAGCGGGCCCCACATGATACGGGACACTCTGTATATTAAAAGGAACTTTATTCTGAAATATTTTCGGGTACGAAGAATCATATTATTTCAACCTGGATCTACCGATTGGACTCGAACGATCATTGCTGGTAATTTATTTAACACACAAATAATTACAGCAAGCAACAAACAGCAGATCAGGGATGGTATGCAGTGACTATTTGTACCAAAAATATTATTAAATGGCCAGGAAAGTTTTTGCAAGGAAACATATTTTTCTTTTAATTAAAATTCCTCGTTACGTCGTACATCTTACGAACACTAAATTTTACCGCAACTCTACCACGAGTCTAGATAATTTATAATTTGTCGGTAACGTTTTCCCCTGTAAATTTCAAAGTGCGAGGGCCGGACAGGGGAAACAACCAACGACGGTCGGTGGAGCAACGAGCAGGAACGAAAACAGCGAAGAGGCACAAAGAAAAAACAACATCGACGGGGCGGCGAAAGTAACGAGAAGCGTTCCCCGAATGGAGGCGAGCTTAAGCGAAAGAGGCGTTCGCGAGAAACATTTAAAAGATTCAAAGTATTCGGAACAAGGGTTCTTGTTCCATTCACCAGACGTACCCACCCTCTTGTAGGTCGAGCCTCGGTGCCGGGCAGCAGAGCCGTGTACCTCGTCTGCGCCTCGGTGGGCAGAACGATATCGACGCTCTTCGAGCGTATGTTCTGCTGCGGCACGGTCAGGGTGTCCGCGTCCTCGCCGTTCCCGTTTTTGCTGTTAAAGCAGGAGTCCACGGACGCGGCCCGGTCCCTCTTCAGCTCCGGGACCGTCAGAAATATGTCCCTGACGACGAACTTGCACTTGCTGGCGCCGACGTTGTCCTCCTCGTCGTCGTCGTCCTCCTCCTCCTCCGGTTTCTCCTCGTCCTCCGTCGAGCTGACCACCGTGGGCAGCTCGACGGGATACGAGGTCAGAGCCTCCTGTCGCGCGAGCTTCGGCGAGGCGATCGACCTTCTGCGTTGTCTCTCCGGAAACAAGCCGCCCCTTACGTCTCTGGTATCGACGTTCTCCTGGGCAACCTCCGTACCGATTTCCGGAACAGCGGGTGGCGCCGTGTCCGTCGTCGCGTCCCGATCGTCGAGATCCTTCTCGTTGAACGTCATCAGCGTGACCCTGATCTCCGGGCTGCCCTCGCTCTTCGGATCCAACTCGGAGTCCTCGTCGTCCGAGGTGTCGTTCGCGTCCTCCGCCGCCTCGTCCTCCCTCGACGAGGGATCGTCTTCCTCCCTGCTCGAGTACAGGCTCTTGTGCTCCTCGACGCAGGCACAGTGGTAGCAGCCGGGCACCTGTATCGTCGGCGTTTCCGGTCGTCGTACGCCGCCGAGGGACTGCTGGCTGGAGGACGAGCCATAGCTTCTCTCGCAGACATCGAAGCTCTTCGAACGCTGACCGCTCTGCAGCTGCGGCACCCTCAGCGTCGACGCGCGTCTCCCGCGCGAGGAATCCTGCGATCTGGCCGGCGAGCAGGAGGACGACGAGGACGAGGTGGTCCTGGTGGACCTGGCGTCCCTGACGTCGTCCTGGCGTTTAGCCTCCAGCTGGATCTCGTCGAACGAGGCGGACCTGATCTGCTTCGGCACCTCGAGGCTCGATTGCGACTTCATCTCGGCTCCCGTCGGGGTGCGCGACCTCTTGAAGGTCGAGCGCAGCCTCTGCATCCTCACTTGGCAGCTACCTGCTGGACTCTGATTCGTTTTCCTCGAACCACCACGTCCGCTGCTCTTCGTCTTCCTCTTCCTCGTCCGTTTCACCGGCGCTGATCGAACCGCGGTCCTCCCGCTTCTGAACGATCGTCGTCTCGCTGGGAAGCTCGATGACCTCGGTACACCTCGGTGACGAGGAAGCCGCCTCGAGCTGCCCGCGACCGCACCCTTCCTCCGCCTTCGACTTAGCTGCCGATCTGCAGCCCATCATAAGTGACCTCGACTCGGCTCGTTCTCGTTCCTACCGCTGCAGAAATCGAGCCAGAACGCTGAACGAATCCTTCTTCTCACGTCCTCGATGTCCACGTATCGACTTTCCGATCGCTTAGAGCAGAATCAGGGATTGCATGATACATTTGGTCCGTCGTTAGGTTCTCAAGACGACGGACATCGGTGATTGTCTACTGCTTAAAGGTAATTAAAAACGATCGACTACCCTGGTCGTGGTAAAATGATACTTCGCTCAAGTACGAGGACGTTTGGTTCTCGTTAAGGGTGTCTGACGCGACCGAGGCATGATTGGCGCGGCTCGCGATTCTTTGTCTCCAATATCCGAAGTTATCGAAATCGCTTTAACTTTGTTTACGTGGTTCGATAAATGCCTGTAATGTCGAGACCGTCACGCGGACACGAGTCGCAAGGTATTGGGTGGAGGTCCCTCTTCGGCGGTGTCGGGAATCTATTGACTAAAATTACATTCCGATCCGGGACACAATCATAGCCACGTGGAAACGACGTCCTCGATCCGCTCCTTTTCCTGCTCGACGGAATTTCCTCATCACCGCCCCCAATGATCACACTTTCTCGAATTAAACCCACCGCCTCCAGCGCGTAGGAAGATGAAATTTATTCGCAGCTAGTCTCCTTAATCGTTCACCTTGCGAGACGTTTAAACACGTGGACACGCGTAAGCGAGATTTACACGCGGATAGAGTCGAAATACAGGCGCCGTGGTCCGATATTACGAAGATCAATTTGTTTAATCGATGTTTAACCATCCAAAAGACGAACAATCAAACGTCTGTTATATCTCGGTGCTCGAATCAACCGTGTACAAATTGGCACAAAGGTACGCTGATTATTCCTCTTCGACGTCTTTGAAGGCAAACCGTCTTCCGAATTTCGAGCACTGAAACGCTGATCGAGTCGTACCCGTTAATGATCGAAACATATCCATTTCGTGCGAGGGTTTCAGCAGCCAATACACGGAGATTAATGCGCGTAGCAAATTGAACGTGCAGGCTGACCAATCAACCTTTGATACAAGGGCAGACGCGAAACGCGCCAATAGCCTTGTTAAACGGCTCTCACCGCGGCACTTACGAAAGATAAGCGAAGCCAATTAGCCGGCAGGAGATCGAGTCGTCCTCGAAATCCCTAATGCAACTCGCCAAACGTTCCTAACGCGAATCGTCTCGCGATTTATCGATTCCTTTAACCTTCTTTAATGAGTCCGCGGTCCCGTTCGAGTCTTCGAGGGTTGATAGACCGGCATCGAGCGCATCGGTCGCCGACGCGTGAACCATAGTCGAAGGTCACGCGTCACCGTCCACAAGATACCGTCGACGACCTCGGCGAACCTCGACGCACGTGAGGTCGTCAAACACCTACTTCGGTTTTCGCTTCACTTTCTCTAGGTTCGCCTTCCTCTCTCGCGCGTTGAGACTCTCTCCTCTCGAGCGACTAGCAGCATCGATCGGCAGGCTTTCCAGCCCCGTAACTTAATTTCTGAGCGACGCGCGGTAATCCCGACGATTGAAATCCCATAAAATTCCGACGACGAGGCTCGCGTCGACTCAGGTAATCTCCATATCACTGGCGTCGAGGTTCCACGGATGCCGGCTCGATCGCTTCTCCCGATTCAATTCCCCAACCGCGTGCCACTGAACTTCCCACGAGCGTCGCGATGCATTATAACGTTTCCGACTTCCGGTAAGGCTGTCGGGATTAAACTCGATTTAGAGATTTCGCGAGTTTCGAGTTCGAAACAGACTACGCGGAAATATCGTCGATCGGAGGGAACGATCGCTGATCAACGGCCCCGGTACTCGCGAAGCGTGCACGCGGACCGTATCGCGGCGTTTCTCAATCTCGAAGCCGACCCGCGATTCCTCACCGTTTTTTTGTTTTTATATATATATACATACATATATATATTTTTTTTTTCTTTCTTTCTCAATCGACCACGAGCAGGGTACGGGACGAGACAGAGAAGGAATCCGACGAACGAGTACGCGTAACGTGACAGGGCAGACTGGTCGGACTAGTGACCAGGGCTCGGCAGTGCCGGATGCCGCGAGAGGCAAAGTGGGGGTTAACACTGGGATCTCGTCTCCCTCTAACCCTCGCGTTACCCTCTTGCTCGCGCCCTCCTAGTCGTCGTCGGTCAGACATGCGCCCTCCGACGTGCTCCGTCTGTGACCGTGTACACATACACGCGAATGAGGAACACCGATGCCGCGGACGACGAATTGGAGATTGCGCTACGTGGCCGACTATTGGGGAAAACGTGTGACGCAGGAAGGGCAGACACGTGTGCAGAGAGAGCTTTCTCTCTCTTACGCGCGAGAGATATTCCGCCGCGACGACGTCGGCCTCTGGCTTTTCCTCTTTCGTTTTCTTTTTTCTTTTCTCTTTTTTCTTTCGCTATTCCGCGAGCCTCCGCTTTTGTCCGCCGAGGCGGACCGTGAATTTCTGCCGACGCTTCCGGGTGGCCGCGGCTACGGATCTTCCTCGACGAGAGCCGCGAACTCTCCGAGCGAGAGATCGTTAGGGTCGAACCGCGGGTTTGCGAGTGATTGATTGATTTTCATTTCGTCGTGTCGTTACCGAGCGTATTTGTGTAACGCGAGTCAATTTCACGGTCGACGTACCCCTACGTCCGTCGCACGATCGTTACGTCTTCCCTTCGGCGAGCGTGTACCGTTCCCGATGTCTCGATTTGATTTTAGATCGTTATCGTGATATCGGCGTGTTCAACCCTTCCATTCGACATGTTACGAAATACTCTCGCTTCTTCTAGTTTCATTCGAACACGTTCAAACACAATTTTCCATTTAGCACAGAGTGAAACATTGAACTTCTACCTCGCGCGAGCATTGCGATGTTTGAACGAGTTTGACGAACGTCTGTCAATGTCTAACTGATTTTTATTTCGATATATTGTTACCATGTGTGTTTATGTTAATGTCGGTAATCACTTTTCCATTCAGTATGTTCTGAAATGCTAAACTTCTTAAGCATTTCGATGCTCGAACGCGTTTGATCGATCAGGATACAGATAGGTACTGGTATGTAAATATCTGACTGACTTTAATGTCAACAGTATCGCTATAGGAAGACGTTTGTTAGAAGTTTGAGCGTAGTTCCATTTCCCAGAGTTCATCTATTGTTGGCAATGTTAAAATTGGTCACAGCATGGGTCTCTTACCGTTCAATGCACTCTAAAAACTGGGATATTTCCTCGCTATCTCGTTTCCATGTTTGAGCGTGTTTAAAAAGCCTAGTCGAACGGGATATCGTCAGATTTGTAAATGACTGATGTACTTCAATTTTGTACGTTGTACCGTTTATATTTGTACAGCGCCAATCAATATCATGATTGAAAAACTTCCGACGTTCGTAACGTTTCCTCAATGAACTCGTAGTTTCGCAATAATGGAATTGGTTAATGCAAGGTTTTTCCGAACAATGCATTTTATACGTTTTGTAGCGTGGGCAGAACATTTTATAAATCCATTGATTTCTTCAAATTCCAAACTACGGCGTTACTTGTTATGGAAATTGCTAACGTAGGTAAGCGGTTGGGGGGGGGGGTCTTTTGTATCCAAGATGATTCTTTTACACCCTGGTATTTCTTCTTCGAGGTGAACAACGAACTTTTCTAGCATACAATTTCTTCGAATTTGTCGTTGATTGACCGTTAATTCGTGCCCAAACAAGCAACGATATATTGTTTATACGATAATCTTTCGCCAAAAAGTATAATAAAAATGAGAAACAACGAGATAGCGTTCGAAACGTTTATTGAATGTATAATTTGGCGTCGCGTGTCGCTTGGTGTCGATAATACGCGATAAAAAAATTCGTTAAGCGGAACTCTGTTGACAACGGAAGTCACAGCAATGACCAATTGCAATTGCCTGTTTTAATCGTAATATGTACAATTACGTTAGGAGTATATATTCTACCAAAACAAATTTTTATTTTGCACATACTCTTCTTTTCCGCTGCGGAAACCATTTAATAACGAGCAGCAGTCGATGACCGAGAAAGCAGTAAAAACAGTGGCCTTATAACCTCTCTCGACTATTAAATAACAATAATATAAATCGATTGATATCGATTAATAGTTACGGTAGTATTTGTGCACGCGATTAGTTTCGCCCTTTGTCCACTTGCATTATTCAAAGCGTAATGTTGCAACCCCGTTTCTATGCAGAATAATCGATACCACCGATTAGAGTTGTGGAACAATATCAGTTAGGTTAAAAAACACTCGAGAATGAAACGGAGAACCGGACACATCTTTCGTGGTGGAAACACGAAGGTATCGATTCGTCGCGAAATTCGACAGAAATATTTTTTTACCACTTTTTATCATTCTTATGGTATTGTTCGCGGACTAAAGTCGTGATTTTTTAAATTATTATGGCTTCTTTAATTGGGATTTCTATAAGAAAATCTTTCCAAGCGAAGCTTATTTTCTAATAACCAGGCATTGAACAAGGCTAATATTTATAATCTGTTATCTGTCCGTTACAAAATAGAGCGTATTTACTCAAACTTTTATTCGACAAATTTTTATACAAACGGAAAACTATTATTTTTTCAAGGCAGAGTAAAAATTCCAGTGAAACAGGAAGAAGCAGAAACTGATAGAGGTCAGAGGTCAAACCTATCACCGGAAAGAAAATCGAACACTTCCTTCATCGGAATGATGTCACGGAGCATATTTATAGTCGATATAGTCGTGTGTCACGTATCAGTATAATATTGAAACGAACATCGATAAAATGTAATCTGCATAGATTCCAGAAAAAAGATACTACTTGCGTTAAAATATTTTAATAAAACGGTGCTATTCGAGGCATGTTTACCGAGATCTCTTCATCCGATATACTTCGCCATACGTGCAAGTAGTACGCACAAACATTTACATGCTCGAAACGATCAAAGGTTCTGTTTCTTTGGCGAAGTTCCTTAAATAATCTAAGCTTGCTGCACGGTGCATGCTTTGCGAGATACGATCGCACAGCTGCGTCAAAAGTGTCACAACTAACGACACACGTATTTATTAACGATAGAAATCTCGAATTTTATCAAACGATAAATACCATACGTATCGTTAGTTTCGTGCAACATTCGAAACCGAACAGTCGAGGTCGTCTTAAAAGACACTTTGGCGCGAGCAATAACAAAAGTTTTACAGCGACCCCTGCAATTATTTCGAGTGGTTAAATTTTTTTACAAAACGACAGGACAAATAAATCATCGGACACCTGCGGAATATAATCTTACGAAAGCTCGAAGAGTTCGATGTAGGACAGTTGGGGGGGTCCTCTTCTCGCGTGACGCTCCACGCGGGTAATAACGAAAGTTCCATAGCGATCCGGCAATTAGTTTGAGTGGTACATTTTTTACAAAATGACACGATGCTTGGCAGGGCTATTACTCAGCCGGCGAACGCTAAATTTCTAAACATAATTTCGGATTCTACGCTTTTATTTCCCCAGCGAGTGAGTCAACAACGTGGCCGCGTCATACATCGAGCGATCCACAAATCACGTGGCACGCGAGCTTTCCCAAGAAGTCACGGATTTATATTTGCAAAAATGTCGAGGCTGGCCGGCGTAAGTTATGCGCATACGTAATATCGAAGTTATATCTGCACGATTCTTTATTCCCGCCCGCGACCTGCCGGTTTACCTGTTTTACATGTCGCCCTGTTTAATCCTCACGCACGCGAATACATTACGCACACGTCCTCGTACGTACGTGTGTTTACGCGTCGTTCGCCGTCTGCAAACACGTTTGCATTTGTACACATTTATACGTAACACGTTGTACGTACGACGGGAAACACGTTAGGACGATGGAATTTCGCGACAAGCCGTAGATGAGACCAAACGGAATCGATACCGCGTTCGCGTTGCGAGGGACAAGCAAGTTAAGATGAATCGCAGACATTTTTGTCGAATAAATTTTCCCTGGAAATCAATACGCGAAGCTTGCAACGAGCGACGCATTATTTTTCCCCCGTAAAAGAAAAATATACCGGAAACTTTTACGCAAGAGCTTTCGCTGTTCGCGTAAAAATTGTTAGTCGAATTCGAATATAAGCGGAATACGTGGAAAACTTGACTGACAAACTGGGGTGGTGGCGACTCCTTAATTCATCGATGATATAGGAAAATCGAGGACACGCTATGTATACCGTGTATAAAGTTTTTCAACGCGTACGCTGATCGCTTTCAATGTTTAAACAGCCATTCGTTATCCCAATAAAACGACACATAATCAGTTAACACCGGGCACATTGTTTCTAAATGTAATGAGGTACACAATGCTTCGAGCAACGTTTCTGCACGAATAAATCGAAATTTATGAAGCAACTTTGTAAGCTTCGAAACCCGTTTAAATCAGGAAGTTTAACGATGCTCCATCATGGAACATGACTAACAAACATTATGCGCGGGGCATGCATAACGCGGTCGCAGCATACTGATCGTAAAATTTAGTATACACTAAATTTGGAACGATGTTTAGCATGAATTCTCTAATGTGCTAAAATTAAAGCGAAAATTCTCGATTCGTCGTTTATAGCGAAATCATCCGACCAGCGTCGGAAATTATGTAATCTACGAGTTTCCGTAAGTGATTGGTAATACAAATTTTAGTAACATTTTATATTCGTTGCTCGAAAACCACGGGAATAAAAATTTTTACGAGGTCGATGAGGTATAGGAGTTTCTAGTTAGTGCCTTTGTGGCAGTAAAACTTTTCATTTTTAAAAGAACTTGTAAACGAGGATACAATCGTTATTACACAGCGTTTTAGTTCTCTCCCGATGAAAATACTGGAAAAAAAAGAATTAGAAAACAATTTGTAAAAGTTAACTTTAACTAACCAACTTTTACTTTCCAAAGTATTTGCAATCGAATTAAATAATGCAGTATCTCATTCACATCTGTTGTATATGTTTCATCATTAATTTATACGGTCCAAACCGGACTGAATAACCGAGCTGCGAAACCTTGCTGTTTATAATTTGACCTATTTTACCTCTGGTAGTCGTAAAAAAGACATTCGAAAATATTTTGATATTTTGGTCTCGATAAAAGAGACGTGAAAACGGGAATATCATTTTATTCGTCCGGACCGCAAAATTTAAAAAAAACAATGGTTCCGGTTCTCTTTTTATCTTGGAGCAGAACGATCTTTATTTGAAACATTTTTTCATAAAGTTTAGTAAATCGTGCACGAAGGGAACTCGACCAAGGAGAGCTATAACGTTGTGCAATAAAGAATATTTACATACGTTGAGAAGTTTTGCTCGTCGAAGATATCAACGGGGGAAAACCTGATACCTTCTTGATCCTTGGAAAAAAAAACAAAAATCTTTTTCACGACCTGAAATAAATGTCGTTGAAGTTACCGAATAAATCTTGAACTCCGACTGCGTCTTTCGTTTTCGACGTAGCTTGATTGCTAACTCGATTTCCCGTTCCTCCTTTCGAAAATCGCGAACAGGGGCTTATTATCCGATCGCGTTGGCAGAACTGTCACTGAATGACGCGCAACGAACTAAATAACGTTGTATCCGATTAAAATTTACGCACGGGCGTGCCCATTCAATATTCACACGGCTCCGTTCATTTGGACCTGACGACCTGTATTATATTTATCTTATTAGTTAGTTTCGATTTGCCGTTGAATGCGAAACAGCACAATACAAGCGCATCCGGACGATTAAATTTGAAACGTCAGTGTGCAATTTATCCGCTACGGTCAAATTCCTAGAAATAATTTAATGAGAATCAGACAGCCGGGTTCAGAAAATCAGTTCAACGAACGTTTCAATTACTTCCGTTGATTCGAAACTGTTCCGAAATTTTTCGAAATGGCAAACCAGTCGTCGACCGTCTATAGTTATTTCCATTCTTATAAAATTTCGTTGGAAAAATAGGAGATAATTATATATTGATACATGCCAATGAAAGTTAATAATTTAAAGAATTTTAGTAGGCGCAGAATGGAACAGGAAACGGTCTTAATTAAATTTAGCTGGTAGAGTCGTGATCCGATCGGTTATTTCTACCAGCCATGGTGAGATTACGATATTATATCAATAGGTTGTCGTAAAGTGTAATTTTTATCCCTTTGTTCGACGTTTGATTGAATCTACCAGCGTGAATTGATTCTGGTCGAACGGGAATCATTCGTTTCTATTTGGTTTTCAGCGCGTCAATGTAAATTTTGATGGGAGTAAACCGACGAGTAATTTCAACAGCCAAAAAGAGAAAAGGACACGGGAAATAAATTGTAAACTCGGTTCTCAATAATTTTTCTTATTTAAGTTTCGACATATACGTTTGCGCGTTCGACGAAATTACGATCGACAAACAATGACATAAATGAAATTGCTTCGAAGCTAAATAAAAAGATTGTTCCTTTATTAGCAGTTAAGTTCTGGTTAAATTCCATTTTTAATATTCTAATTTCCTCGCGTGGATAATTGCTAATTAAAAAATTACCTCACAAAGTCTACAATATACTAATAAAAAATCTTTCGATACAAAGGTCTCGCCTGCCATGCTTCCACGTATACAATTATTTCATTACGTTGGCGTTAAAGGATTAAGTAAAAAATGAATTTGTTTTCAACGTTAATACGTGTAACGCGACGTTCAAACAAATTTTAATTCCGGTAAATAAATTTGAAAAAAGAGGACACTGGTACGTACCGGATTAATATAATATCGATGATGATATTCAATGTACGAAGGTAGTTCGAAAACGGAACTTTCTCTTTGAAAGTTTATTCAACGAATATTTTCCTACATAGTGCCTATTAATTTACGCCTTTGCCAACAAACCGGAGGTTCTTTAATCGTACAAGTTTAAAGGACTGCCATTCGAAATTTCTCAAACATTTTGACAAGTATTTTTAATCCTGTGTTCCAACAATCATCGCTCCAGAAAACGAAGCGAAAAGGTGGAGGGCTCCAGTGAAAGATAAAACCAGTATTTGGTTTTCGAGATCTCTCGTAGATTTTCCAGGAAATTTTGTGACATTTACGAATCTAGAATCCCGAGAATTCAGTATATTTCCCAAGATCCATCTACGCTTCAGTCGACTGAAAAGCTCGAATTGAAAATTCATATCATTCGTGGACATTGATATTGTCATATACAAAATTATATGAAAGTTTCAGATTCATTCCGATTACATTTTACTTTTAATTTGTTAACGGGTTTGTCGAATCGATAAAATGTTTATTCCCGAGTAAAATTAGCCCCAGGCTGCCCTGTACTAAAACCTGTGGAAGCAATCGAACGAACAGGGGTATAGAACCCGGTAGCAAAGGACGAAACGACGAAGGGTATCTCACTCGCGTTAACCAATATGGTCCTTCAGGATATTTTCTAGGGTCTAATCGAACATGCCACGACCTCCTGTGGTTTATCTCCCAGGACAAAGGCACGCAGCTTTCGCATCCAGTCATTCCTATCTCGCTCTCGTTTCTCGCACGATCCGTTCTCGCCCAATTGCCAACCTTTCCTCCGAATCATCGGACGGTTTCTTATCTTCGCGGCACCGTAAGTTCGTGCCCTCTGCGAAATGCACCCGTTGTCCTAGTTCCGGCGTCAACCCGAGCAACCTACAATGCACACGAGAAACACCGAGATGGTGGTATACGGTCTCTCAAAGGGCTGGTCTGCCCTCGGGGAACGGGGCACACACACACGAACACACCCCCTAAGCGATCGGCGTCCGTTCTTTAATCGACTCGCGGACACGTTGCATCCCCCGAACGTGGACGTTTCCGCGTCGCGACGCGCCGATTGATGAGCGTTAATGGGGCCAGAGGGTTGCTAGCTGGGAGTTCTTTTCCACGGCGAAAGGGTAATTGGAAAACAGACCAAGCGATCCCCGCCCACTTCTCGCCGAAACTATCGAAATTAACGACGAAATTTTTGTGCGAATTCTAGGGTTCTCCGAGCAGCCAAAAATAAGGGAAACGTACTTTTGTTGGCTAAGGGTCCTCCAAAGCGCGACATTTAACACTATGAAATTGAAATTGAATAGAACGAAGTTTAGCGAGGTTACGAAAATTTTAAGTTATGCGGTTTACAATGGTCGAAAATCAAAGTTTTGGTGTGGCAGTCAACGTGTTAAAAAACGTTACTGAATTCACAATTATTTTCTAGATACTGTCAGAGAATAGTTTCAACCCTTAAAATACGCAGATGCGTGTCTCTTATTTTTAAGCGCTCTATAAACCTGCAAAGTTCCTCGTAAAAAAGACCTATAAACTGCTAGCCATGAAACTGTCCAAGGATTCCGGGATTAATGGGCATTTTTATTTTGGAGAATTAAAAGAACGCCGACGGCGGGAAAATAACGAAACCGTTTTTCCGAAAGAATATGATTTCCATACGTTTGAATACCTTGAATAACAACGAGCGGGAAGATTGATCGGGCTATCTGACGCCATCGCGATCCTAGTTCTCGCAATTAATATAGTTCAAGGCTCGCGAATGTAAATTACGGCGTTTCGCAAGATGCATCACCTCGGCGAAAGATACTGGCGAAACCGTTGGAAATGATTTTCCACAGCGCGTCCGATAGCCGCGAATAATAACGAGTGCGAAAGTTTCAACGCGAACGAAGTTCCCGATATCTACGCGGCCCCCGAGTTCTGGTAATTAATACTGTTCGAGGCTTTTGAACGTGGATCGTGACCTTTCAGAGGATGCATTATTTGGAAACTTCATTACTTTGGAAAAAGTGGATGGAAGCTGCGATGCTCGCGGAAGGTAGCAATCACTTTCTAGCGGAACACAGCTCTTAGACCTAACTCGAGGATCTCGAACAATACGAATGCGCGGAAACGCGAAAGCTCTAACGCAAATGAACGTACCGAGCCCGCCGAAAATCTGAAATTTACCAATTATTCGATCGATACATTTTCTTTCGGAATAATACAATTTTAACCCGTCCTCTAACCTTACCGATCTCAGGGTGAGTTAATAATAGTGTACGAACAATTCACAGACGAGCGTTCCGTTTCTCGAATACAACTGCTTTCAGTTATAACAAACGTTACTTGGCACGATCGAAGGCGGAACGAATGCCAAGAAACCGTATCAACAAGCTCGCTCGACCTTCCGTCAAACTCTTCGGGGAGTCTCGATTACTATAAAATAATAGAATTTATTCTGCGGTTTATTCCGATTTTTATCCAAACTCTGAATCCGTGGAAACGCGTATAAATGTTCAAGCGTCGTTGCTAGATCGCCCATATTATATAAGATGAAAGATTCCACGTCGAAGACGCGTTTTATCGACATTTCTCCTAAACCTGCGAAACTTATGCACCAACCCCAAAGATACTGTTCGAAGCTTTCGCGCGCGAGCTGTATCCTGTTGAGAAATGAATGGCACAGCTTGCGTCTAAAAGTCTCGAACAGTATCAGGCGCAGAATCTGCAACGCGTTTGGCCTTTCATAGTAAATATAGCACAGAGTGCCACGGTTTTGTCAACGTGTTCGTAACGCGCGCGAGCTACGAAACTGTCGCGATCTTTTAAAGAAGGTACATTTATCCGGCCACGAACGTTCCAATAAGTAGCTCGAGGCGAAACACTGTTAGATATTCACGCGAGAAAACTTAATTCCCGAATCTCATAAAACTTTCTCGGCAAACTTTGCGGGGCACTGTTGTCGCAGAGTTTCGAATTAATCACATTATGCAATGGAGAATTAAGAGGCTACGACGGTCCGACGGGATGGAAAAATAGAATGGTAATCGAAAATTTCGTTCGAAGATGAAACGATGCGAAATTAGCAACTAAATGTTGAACTTTGACGAGCGTGGTACATTGAATGCAGAACGAGGGTGTATCTCGGATTCTGAAACTATCGATCGGTCCATCCTCGAATTACCCTTTAATCCCTTTCATCTCGAAGAGGCCGGATAAGCGATTACACCAGCAGGAACGTAGCAATGGCTTACTTGTCGAGGGATAAATAAAAGAGAGGGAAGGGAGCGTCTGCGACCCGGGATAAAAATCGATCTCGCGGTAACGCAAAATGGAAATGCCATGGAGAATAAATCAAACTGTAAATCTATCCCGTTCGCGGTTACGTGGATCCTAGGCTGAAAATTTAAACGGAACCGAGAGCCGTGCGAATCCATTCCGATTATAACCGAAAAGTGTCTGATTTTCGTCGTATTTTTTTTTTTTTCCATTTTTTGCCCGCGAAATCTTCGTGATCGTATCCCGTTTTGCGATTGAATCGAATCATCGCGTCATCGCCGATCAATATGCAAACGTTCCAGTAATCTCGCGCGATAACGAAAGAGAGATGAGAAACGTAGATACCATCGAGCGAACTATTACGGTATTGGATCGTTCGGGAAATTTCTGCGGCTTTTTTTAAGCAAGAAACTCCCATATTCGATACGTATCATTTTACTCCGCAATTATTCGTTTCTAAAATAATTAACAAATTTCTCCGAAAGGTGTCTGGCATACCAGTCGAAACCAGTAGGATTCCATGATTTTTCTCTGGCCGTTCGATCATTTAAACCAGTCTTTTGTACAACACGATCTATCACACGATTTTCACGATCGGAATATTCACGATTGGAATATTCTCGTGTTTCAGCGCGTAACACTCTTGCGCTATTTATTGGATTTCGCTGATATTAAAATATCTCCTCTTTCGAGTTTATGTTTGAAATAGTTTGTTTAATGCATTTTCATCTTTTCGACAGAATTCGTGTTTAACACTAGAACTACCAAAGCAGTCAAAATGACCCATTAATAATTTTCAATAAAATTTGTAAAAAATTTACCACAATTTTCTACAAAAGAATGAATAAACAGTTATTTATTATATATTTTGGTACAAATAAATGCACTGCAATTGTCGGTAGTTCTAGTGTTAAAGGAACAACGTAGAAAAAACCACCGATAGCAACGAATCTATTTTGCAAAGACACGATAGCCTCTCAAAATATGCGCTACCATCGCATGTTTTCATTGGCATTCATTTGTTTCGACGTTTTTAAATAACTATTGGAATTTGGCACGAACTCCCCGAGCAAGCCAATACTTCGTTGCCAGGATAAAGAAATCTATGTTGTTTATTGGAATCTTTGCAAATCGAGCATACCTGATAGATTCTCAAGACTGTACTCTATAGAAAGAATCGATTATTATTAACAGATATCGGACCAAAAATTTCTATTACCAAGCATACTCGTGAGTTGGTTAATTTGTTACATTCTTAATTCGTGTAAAGATTTACATTTTCGCGGATGAAAATTTGGTGAAAAGCTCATTTCACGTATATTCGTCAGACGATTTTCGAAGTCGATTTAAGAACGTGTGCCCCCTCCCTCGAGGCACTTAAAACAGTGGATAAAGCATCAACGGAACATATAAATTCTGTATACGATCTTGCAAGGGACGTGGGGAAATACAAAATACACATACTCTACAAAGATACACGTGAAATTCTACTCGATCCTAAAGAAACATGGTGAACCCTTCGCTTCTGATTCAGAGAATTTACCCATAAGGGGGTGTTCTGTTTCCAAAAATATTTATTCACACTTTTCATGCGAGTAGTGGATTCAATTTTGGCCAATCTAGTAAAAACAATTATATTTTACTTATTAATATTTTCCAATATACGAGTATTCCTTTTCAAGATTATCTTTCAGTGCTCAGAAACGAAGAGGGATTCGTTTGAATCGGCATCGTTAAATAGCAAGCTCTCGTGGCCGTTAATCAAATAATTAGCAATTTTTCTATAGCTCGGAACACAACCCGTTAAAAACGTTTTCGTATGGTAAATCGAACACGAGGACTTTTAAGCTGGCGAACGCGTGGCTCGTGTACATTGTACGGATGCGTTAATAAAATCGCGCCGTTGTGTATGCATCTGAGAATCAGGTCGCGCGTACGCGTGTAGCGCAATATTTCATCCCGGAAATTGACTTGGATTCATGTGTATGCAATAAAATCCGCTACCAATCTCCGCGTCGAAAAAGCCCCTGAAAAAAGAAATTTCATTAACCGATAACGGGCGACGCGGGATTCCAGAGTACCGTTTTCCACGGGACTGATTTTCAACCCTTGAATATTCATTTGAATTAACACGCACACCCGGAGACAACCGTCTTCTCTCCTATTCGACAAAACACATGTGAAATAAAACGATACAACGAACGGGATGAAATTTTTGTACGCTTCGATTGAACCGTTCGCGCCAAAAATTGGAACACTAGCGTCCGGATATGTGGCAATCAATTTGTCCGCTTATACGGACTACGAATCGATATCGATATGTTTCATTTCCATAAACCTAACGAAAGACAATTATTGATATTACTCGTAACGAAAAGAATTCTTTAATTACAAACGAATTTACAACTTATTCGGAAACGGTGAACAGGAAAATATTGGAACACAGTGCACGATAAAATATTCATACAATAGCGCGCGAAACACGCAGAATTTCTTTTGCTCGGCGGTTTGTTTACGCTTTGGAATTATCCATTAATCCTGTTCCTGTACGCCATAAATACGAGACGCGGGAATTATCAAACAACGGGCGAACCGTTCGTTAAAACTCGCCGCGTCGG